TTCGTAAAGTACCATTTTTCGTCAGCCGCCATTTATATGTACACACAACTCGGTACTAACGATGCGCACTTCACGGCGGTCGCGATGGCGGCGGGCACACACAACGCCACACAACAGCGACACGTTAGAAACTTCACGTCACTACGCTAACCGGAAACTCCGCCTCCAAGTTCATACTCGCGGAACTTTTCGCACAATGGAAAATAATCGGCACATTAATCGACGAGAAAAACAAGTCCCTCTCCTTCCGTCTTCACCCAAACCCTTCTCATTAATCATTTATCGAAAGTTCCGCGAATCTTGCCAGCCTTCAATGATTCTTTTCTTCCATCAATTCCCTGCACGATTTCATGCGTTCGATTCAAACTTTTAACCGGAAACGAAGCTTGATCACCGATTCACTCAATGGAATTCTTCTTTTTACCAAAAATGAACAAAATTTTCGCTGAAGATCGTCTTTAAGGCTAAATTCGATCATTAAAATGAAATGTCGCACTGTATAACCTAGCATAGACCTGTAAGGCCTTGTTTTATTAGTTTCTTCATTACTATTATTACTTATCTATAAGTGACTTTGTTTGTGGTTCGTTTACTAATACATACCAATACTTGTATGTAACTTGGAAAAAAAGTGGAAAAAAAATATCATGGGCTCACATTCGCAAAAATTATCTTGATTTTTTTTTTTCGCATAATGCCTTTATTTTTAATTAAATAACTCGCAATTCTCATTGGCACATGCCATTTCAAATCTCGGAAATAGTACTTTTTTTCTTCGAATTACTTCGATACCCATCCAACTTCACGGCACTGCTTTGGAATCGTGCAGGAAATGAAAAATGAACTTCAGAAATCCTTCAAAGGGTTCAGCGCTTTCGTATATTTATGAGATTATCGGAAATTTACAGAGGTTCGTGCAGAACTTCGTTAAAATCAGTTTTACGGACGTTTTATTTGTACGGATATTATACAAAACAAGATTTCTGTATATTTATAATAAATGAAATAAACTCTTCAATAGTTACATCACAGTAACGAAACGAGATTTATTTATATATAGTTTAAACTTTCGTACGGGATGGTGCATTTTCATCTAAATGCCAACGAATTTTTCTTTACAGCTTCCATGAAGTTTTTCACGGATTTAGAATTCGGTATATGTATAGAATATTAGATACACAAGTTGATCGACGATGTAAGCCGTCGATTATTTATTTCACGGAATTATCTTCCACGTGACGTATCTTTTAAACATATTTATTTACGTATTTTTTGCAGGCCATGAGGTTGGTTACAGAGAAAGAAAACGTTTAACCCTACTTCGATACCAATCAAAAATATAACCTATCGAGTAATTTTAATCACGAAATTTTTTTCGAACATCTTATGTAACGATATACCGAGTATACTGCAATGGTTTTACGCACTCGTGAAATTTACCCCATTTCATTTAAGAACTCTAAAGTACTACTCGTCTTGTCTGTATGTTGCACAAAAATTTGCAATCGCGTCGACACAGTCGGTGTGATGAATGCGTGTAATCTTTTTTCGCAGTAAACATCCGAGAAAATTTTTTTCTCGTGAGCACGTTGCGTTGATTAACGAACACGCGTGCGTACCGTAAAACCAGCTTAGCTAACACTTTACATTACAACCAACGTCATAACCTACCTGAACTTTTTCAGTCTACGGTAGGCATGAATCACGTAGTTTATCAATTAGAACTTTTGAGCTTTAAACTCCCGGAAGTGACGCAATCGTCGTTGAGCTAGTAGTATGTGCACGCAGCCAATGTTATCCATGTAGCAGCGTCCCGTTATCATAGTCCTACCGAAGGACCCCTAGTGCTGTTTATTATCGAGTATTTATTATTTATTCGCATAGAGCCTCAGACTTACAGCACGATCGTCGAATACTTTTTACGTTTCACTGTATAAATTTTTTTCTCTTGAAGTTTCCAGAAGAACGTTGACGGTGACCAGCGTGAATCAGTTGGCATTGGCACTGTCTTTCCTTCTCGGAAGAGTTTGATGTAAGAGATCACGGTAAGTTTCTAAAATAATTATGTTACGCGGCTTTCTAAAGTCCCGCTCGTTCTGTTTTATTCCGACTTTTCACAAAAACCAATCACATGTCCGCCTCATTCTTTCGAAATCCGTACATACATCAATGAAACTCCATTCAACATCCGACGTACAAAATGGCGGCGAACTACCACTTGTTACAAATATATATTTCACGATATTTGTATACTGAAATAAACATCCAAATTTCAACGTATGTAATGTTCTCTGTTTAATGCAATTTTTTACATATTAAATATATACCAATTTACTCATCATTTTGAAATGACAAAATTAATCCAATTGTGTTGATTTCCGAGGTAACTTACCGCGCTAAATTTGAAATTGTTAATCAATTCATTTCGTACTTGTGAGTTTCAACAAAGATAATTCGTTGAATATTACAAGCTCGCTACTAAAGTTCTATTATATACACTTACGAAAAATCTTTTCGTTTTAATTTTGTAATTTTTGCTATTTCTATAGGCAAGGTATGTTTCGTATCCCAAATACAACGATGCCTGTGACTACTACAGCCACTAAGAAAACGAAACAAACACAGGCTTGCTTATACGCGTCCTATGAATGTACTCAACCTTGTTTAGAAGGATACAATTATTGCGGTAAACATATTCTTGAGGATCCAACTGCACCTTTCAAACAGTGTGGCTTTGTCTACAATACTAACGGAAGAAAATGCCAGAACCCAGCACCAAAGTTAGATAGAAGAGATATTTCGTATGTATTATGTTTATATTGAAGAAAATCATCTAATATAATATTCTCTAGATTTTATACAGTTATTTATTTTCAACAGATATTGTACCGAGCATACTAGAAAAGCTCAAATAGCACGCATAAAATCAACGTCGCGTCATTCTTTGCAACAAACACCTGAAATGCTCTTACTTAATTTAAGTCATTACGTTAAACCCGCCGATTCGAGTACCGAGGATACAGAGGACGAAGAGGGAAAAGTCAAAGCTTTAGATCCTTTTAGTAAGTCTAGATCGAGTAACAAAATCGTAATTACATTAGAGGTCTTTGAAATTAAGCGAAATTAACGTCTTACTAAAATTTCAATTTCAGCTGAAGTTGATGCATTTAGAGTAAACGCGAGTGGATGTGATATTTTAGATTATGCAAGTTCTTCGGACAGTGATGTCGAACCAACGGTTGTGAGCGATACTTTGAGAGGAAGTTATCTAGATGATAGCGACGATGACAGTCTATACAGTGCACAAGAAGATCCCTTAAAGTAAGAATAGGTTCATGTGCGAGACCTCGCAATATTTACACATTAAAATAAATGTTTTTTCGTAGAATATCGGCTAGCATGCTTTGGCTTGAGCAAATCTGTCTGAATCTTCCTATTTCTTATAACACACTGCCTTGATAAAAAAAAATGACACACACTGACTTTCGTAGCTGCTTTATGCGAAAATAAGACACTCATTTCTATTGAATCATTAGTATTAATTTTTTAAGGCATGCTGGAATCTTTACTGCCGAAGAGGTGATATACATCGCACGAGAAAAACTAATTAGGTTACAGTCACTTTATATAGAGCAATTTAGAAGACTGCAATATACGCTCAGGGAAAAGAGACGAAAATATTTACACGCGCTTAAAAAGGAAAAAGAAACGTTGTGTAGTATACACGATCAACCCAAGGAACTGGCGAAAGAAAAAAAGATTTACGAGAAATTGAAAGCTTTAAACCGATATCATAGACGAAGCGGAGTTGAAGCTATATTGTATAGGAAGTCGTTAGAGCGTAGAGCACAGGTAATACATGAATATATAAAGTGATTTTATTGATGTTAACGACATTCGTTTCAGCCGAATAAATAATATCCATAAAAATGATTTATTTACTGTAGGTAACCGATGGGTCTACGCAAAAAATACCAAGTGTATCAAAGTGTATTTTTACGGAAGGTGGAGTGAAATGCGGGGAAAGAACTCTTCCCGCTGCAAAGCATTGCCGTAAACATATTCTTAAAGTAAGATTAATTAATTATAAACAAAATTGCAATATAAATTAACGATATCGTATTATATCAACAGGACCAACATCAAGTTTTATTTAAAGCATGCGGAGCGGTACGAGCAGATATAGAATGTCACGAGCCTGTACCTATAATTTTTGATACTAATTGCGTGTTTCATATGAATTTACCGAACGAATGTAAATTAGAATCGATGAAGGTAAGATAATATCAATATCAGTAATACAAATATCAGTGTTATCATTTCGAAAAATATTTCGAAAGATAATTATCAGTTTAAGGAATCCAAACCTGAAGCACCAGAAATATCGATAACAGATAGTCAGTCTATGGAAATTGATGTAGTAGGTGAAATTCAAGAAATTGATCCAGATGATGATATGGCTGGATTAATGCGAGAGATGAGCGATGCTGCGCACATAAAGCCTGCATTTAACGAAAGCCTGAATAGTGAAGCTAGCACGGATACAGCGTTTAGTTTATCGGCACAGATGAGTGATAGAGATGACCTTGTTTCTGTATGACAAAAAATTTTTGTGATTTCAAATAATAGAACGTCAATACTTATTGTTATATAATTATATTCATTTTATTTTCAGGAGATTTCATGAGTCCGTTACACCCTTAAAACGTGTAAATTTAATTACTTTCATTTATTAAACACTCGCACACGGAAAGAAGTCTTTTAAATTGAAGGTGCACATTGTGTGATAATGAAAGATACATTGATGTAAATTTATTGTTGAGCATTATTGGCGTGTGTAAATATGTAACTCGCTCACATTGTTTCATTATTCGATTTGAGAAATAAAAATATAATCGTTCATGTTCTTATTGCTTTTTCCCTTGGAATTTCCCGAAAAAATTGTCCCGTAGTCAGAGTTAACAGATTTTTGGAGATTTAATATATAGACACGTAATATGTGAAAATTAATTATTATACTTAGCATTTGAGTTTGTACAAACAGCGCAAATCATTTAGCTAATTACACCAGTATTAATAGAAGATGTAACTTAAGAAAAGTGTTTGCTTACAAGAATACAATGCTTTTTTTTCAATGTTTACATTTTCTGTAAAAAAATACATCGTTATTGATCATAGCATTAATATTAACATATAAACAAAATATGTGTCGTAAGTAACTTACAATAAGTAGATGAGGTTTTACCATAATTTGGTTGCTTAAATGATACATTTTTTAGGTAATAAAGAAGGTGCATAATACATATCCGACATAAACTTTCGAGTTCATTACGACAACGCTCACGTAATAAATGCAGTAGTTTGAAATACACATTGGCGTGGTGTATACACCACGCGAGGAAATAAATTTTATTCGAAGCATGATTTTAGAAAATTAAAAATATGTTTTTTTAATTCAGTGTTTTCCACAGTCATAAATAAAGTTTTCGTTAGTTTACGTAAGTACAGCTAAAAATATTGAGATTTACAGCTAGAAATATTTGGATTTTATGTTTCGATCGTATATATTATGGTATGACATGCAAGTATGTACAAAGATAAGTAGTTACCCATAATGAAGAAAATGGTAATTACAGTGTCGATATGAGAATACGTCAAAATTTGATTATATTCAATCATTGTAAATGGTGTACTATTTTTGTACCATCTTTGTTTCTCTATATCGATATTTGACATAATCATTTTGTGCACAAGCGTATTTCTAGTTAGGTAAAACTAAGACAAACTACAGCATCATAAATGTCTTACTTTATAAATGTTTTCGTTCGCAACGATCGCTAAAACAGAAGCTTGTATATGCACCTTTCTCGAAGTATTGTAATTTAAGATTTTGTGCAAATACATAGAGTAATTACAATAAAATAGTTTGAAAGAAATAAGCACCAAAAAATTCTGAATGCCAACATTATTGTAAACTCAATAAAATGCAATTGCGAACAACAAAGTATATCTAGTTTTACGAGTGAACGACTCGTATTATTATATGTAACGCTGATTCATTCAAAAGGTATTTATATGAAGTAGTATTTAAGTTATTGTACCAAAATAAAGAATGCAATTATCGTAGTAAATATATCACAATTATACTTGGGCACTAATAGCCTAGAAACACATATACATTGTGTGAATGCCAGGCAATTGACGATTAACACGTTCAACTCGGAGTCTGATGATATACAGTTTTTATTAAGCAGCATTATAAAAGATTGACGAATCTAATACTGAGAATTCTCCACCGACCAGAATCTCTAAATAATAAAAGGCACTTTACGAAGTAACATAATAGAATTTACGAAAAAATTGAAAAGAGTAGGTAAACCTACTAGTTGTATGAACGATGTATGGCCCCAGATTAAAATGATTTAACTTTGGTCAATTGAAGATACTTAAGAAACATGTAACCATGACATAAAATTAAATTGAAGTTAAAAGAGGAGATTATTTGAATTGGCAAATATTAATCGATTAAGTCAATTAGTTATTAATGAAATAGGCCAGTTTCATTTTCGATACGTTTGACCCTTCTAGTTATCTAAGGGTTAACATAACATAAAGAAGAACCAAAAGATATATAACCTAGAGAATATTTCATAAGTACTAGTTAGACTCACCTAGTGGGTCATGCCAGTGTGAACGTGTTAAAAAAGAAATATAAATCTTAATTCATATAACCTCCAAATACAAGATCAGAAATGTATATAGGAAGTTTTCTGGTTTAAAGAATTAGTTATGTGTAACTAAAGAGGATTTGAGGATTTACGTCATCTTGGTGGTGTTGAAATAGAGAATATTTCATATTTTGTATTATACCATAAAGATCGCGTAATACTTGAATCAATAAAATATCGATAGAATAGTACTATAGTTTTTACTTGTATTGACTTGATACTAAAATTACTATGTAATATCTGTTTAGTAATACGAGCACCAATCATTTATAACCAACAAAGTAAAGAGAACTGCATGGCATTTTCACAAATTCATATGATCTTATTATGCAAAATATCAAAAGTATTTAGTAAAAATTAACTATATTTACCTATTTTCATAACGTTCTGTTCAGCAAATTTTCAAAGCATTCAAATCTTACTCTTGATCCTTGCTTTTTATATTAATTTAAAAGAACGCAATATCTTAAGTATGATTTATAGCAAGTATACTTCAAATATTGTCATTGTATTTGAATTATCTAAGGTTCTCCAAGTTATCTATTTCATTCGTTCTTGTGCATTGAGTACCCTTTAAGGTTATAAATGTTGTTAAACATTTAGCATTTACTCCTATGTAGTACCTTCTTAAGTTTTCATAACAACAAATTATGTTGTTATCAAGTAATTTTATACTAGACATATGTAAAAGGAAAATTAAATTGTTTATAATGTAATAAAAGTAAATATTTCGGTAAGAATGTACAACTAAAGTTTTATTGACTCACGTATTAACCCATGAATAAGTCTGTAGGAAGTACTGCAAGCTTACCATTGTTTAAAAAAGTTGTCAGTCTTTTTAAGTTTATCCACTGAACATATTCTTAAGATCGTGTTCATAGAACGCTATAATTAACATTATACCAACGCCGCATGATAGCCCTAACGCTTGTAAAATACATTGCCATTGAGAACTACGTTCCACTGAGTGACTCGAAGATAATTCTGGAATCTAAATCAATATATACTTATTGATCAATTGTGCTGCTCGCAAGAAAGTAAATTAGCGAAAAGGTGTAAACTATATATATCATATATCACTTACCATATCCACTAATGCTATATATATAAACATTCCTGCAGCGGCTGCGAACATCCAACTACTCACAGCTGGAGTGCTGCCCAATAACACGCCAAATATCATACCAAATAAACAGAGCACGGAAGATAACAGGTTATAAAAGACAGCCTGTTTAGCACTCATGCCAGCTTTTAATAGAACTGCGAAGTCACCTATTTAACAATATTTAATATTTAATAAGACACCAATGTGGCATTCTAGGGCCACTAAGCATTTGTATATTAATACAACATACCTATTTCATGTGGTAATTCATGGCAAAACACTGCTATCGCTGTTGAAAAACCACCCGCGATGTTCGCTGAAAAAGCGGCTCCGATAGCCATACCATCCGTAAAGTTATGCAAACCATCCCCCATTACTACCATCCACGCAACGCTCGACATAGATTCTGGTGCAGAATGAACATGACCTGAAAAATTTTATCATTACGACATTATAAATAATAAGGTCATAGTAAACAAACAACTGAATCATACCATGCGAATGAGTATGGCCGTGATGTTTTGTTTCATGCTCGCGTATAATAACCGTATAACTCTCCGATTTGTTTAAAGGTATGTCAGCACCATCCGTATTTTTTTTAGTATTTACAATTGAATCGTCTACTAATCTCCAATCTTCGTGTGATTTCTTTTCTACATCATTCGTCATGATTTTCGAAACTGAATTGCAATTGGACGTCAGAGGTTTCTCTTCTTCGATAACGGGAGGTCTTTCGTGATTATTATGTTGACGATTATGATGGTTATCTGAATAATAAATATCCTTTTTATGATGTATTTTACTAAAGTACCGAATAAACCAAAGCAACGTTTTACCTTGAGTATCCGTATTAATTTCACCGTAACAATATGGGTACGACGAATATTTGTGTTTACAAAATTTCTCTCCGACAACATTACTGTTTGGTCCGTCCGTCTCTCTCATTACTCTAACACGCGAAGGAAGCTGAAATTATAATAATTATAACATGTTTAAATATAACATTCTTTAGTTGTTATTTAACTTTATAATCACCTTATTACGGCGTTGTCGACGTTTCCTCCACTCTGCTACCAATGTCAGAGCCTTCTCCGTAAAAAAAAATAATGCGAGACCTATCATTGCAACCACTCCCTTCCACATATTCGAATTGTGTTGTTCCTTATGATCTATCGTAGCATGATCGCTATCATTATCATGAACTTGTTCATGACTGTGATCATGTGGCATCATTGCCTAAAACAGAAACATAGTACCGACTCTAAATTATAATCTCGGTTTATCGTACTATTACATCCTTAATATATTAAATCTTACATGTGGTAACAAATGAATAAGAGCATCACCACATAGAGTTCCTACAGCGAGAGCGACCAGAAACTGTAGCAATTGATGATAGTAAACTTTACCCATGCAAGGTATAACGGCTACACCGAGTAAACCACAGAGACTGATTATTAGAATACTAATTGTAGAATAGGCCCATACTAAACAGAACAATAAAATATTTAGTACCAAACGATGATCGAAACATAAAGAGTTTAATTACATCGCGTTACAATTCTATACCTTGAACCATATTACGTGTTACATCCTCTCCAAGGTACTTATTAATTACTGGTTTATAATTCTCTGGCACAAGAATGCATCCATTTCTTTCTGAACTCGATTCACCTGCTAATTGGTAAACAAGAGCTGGACACACGCGTTCAAAAAGCCAACTTGGTAATGTTGAATTATTATTAGTGTAGGATATATCTCTTGCAACAGTACTTAATAATTCTCTACTATTTAAGCACTGAAATAGTGGGATAGTAACTTATGAGAAATATTTAATGACTTAGGAAAAAACAAAATCTATTCAATTTTTCTACAGTAAAACATGATTTTAATTATTATGACTTATCTTACCCGTTCCTTTTTAGTTTCATTTTCGTATTCTGATAGGCCATTATTTTGTATATTCTTTGATTTATCTAGAACAAAAAATGTTCTATACATATACAAGCATACACAGACTGTACTGGGAATGTACATTAAATGTTTCAATGGTTGCAGAAACTTTGTAATATGCAGTTACAGACAGCAGACAAATGCCAGCTATCTGCATAAAAGATAAGGTTGCATAAGATATTCTTATTTAATTACTGCTGTTTCCACATAATCAACAATAGTAGTATTAAATTTTATATACACTTAGAGAAATGTAAATTTATATTAATTTGTTTTCTTATTTTTAACTGTGTTATTTTTATTTTTACTTCTTGAATAAGGTACTGGGAATATATTTTGATAAAGATTCAAATAGCAGTTCAATGAAATCGATAAGTAAGTTAATTGGTCAATTGAACAGGAGTCTGAACCTTCAATTTAAGCTAAATTATTATTATCAAGCTGATTTCCAGATTGAATCAATTAAAAATAATATGAGACTGTACATATATTGAAGCAGACATGGCTTTATAATTATTGTGATTGACAGTTATTAATTGGTAATGAGAAATAGTATGCACACGATCAACCATACTTCAGATCTTGAAATGTGTGTTATTATACACACATATATTTTTTTAATACTTATGATATGAAATGCATGTAAAACTTACCTAATGGATTTTCATGTTGACTAGTAACAATATTAGGATCCTCTAATCTAGATATATCTGTTAATAACCTCAGTAATCCCAGTTTTCGTAATAACTTTTCAAAACCTTCCATTGTTACACTCTTACCATCTCCATAAGTTTCAAAAACTTTTTTCATGAAATACTTTTCATCCATAGTGTCTATGTTTCTTTTTCTTCTAACTCCATTCAAAGAGTTTTGATCTTTAACAGATTCAATTATTTCAATTTGACCTAGTCTTTCTATTATTTCTAAATCTTTCAATGTCGTGAAATTATCTTCTGTTATTGGAACATCTTCAATAGCTATATGATCTTTTACATTTTGTAGTGTTTTCCTCTTAATATGGATTTTATCTAAATTATTTAAATTTAGCATTTTTGCATCTTTCTGTTGTGTTTCTTTAGATCTTATTAATAGCTGGGATGGCTGTAACTGTTCCTTAGGATTTCTTAGATTTTCAGGGTTCACATTATCACGAGTTGCCTGTCCTGTTGTAGAGAATTCGCTATGTGCAGAGCAAGGAGTATGTGTAGCACATAAAACACATACCACACAAACTGTGACAAAATGATGTGACATGTTGATCCTCCTATAAAATAAAACAAGAAACTTTTATTTAATTAATTAAGACATACATATACATACACATGGAAAACTTCATTTTATAAAATCTTTGTTACATTTTAACATGTAGTTACAATTAATCAAATTTATACTGTTAAACACACATCACTCTGGACTATTTGAAAATGGATGTATCCATGAACTAGTAGTATGATACTATGTCAAAGAGGAAGTGGTTATCTATGTAATAATTATAGTGATAATAAATCCAATTATAGGAAATAATCTTAGTTAACTATTTAAAACTGACATTATCAATAGAATTAATTTCTTGTTATGAAGTAAATTTTTAACTAGTTTTTCTTATGCAACAACAATAACTTTCACAAATGACAAATAATAAAGCTGCTTTATATTTAAAACCATCGTGCAGAAATAACATGACTCATAACTTATATTTTCCAAGATTACTAGAAGTAACGCAATCATTATTTTCCTTTTTACTATTCATAGTTAGTAATTATAACATGTACAATTTTCAATATATAAAAAGCATAAAAACACTATACAAATAATACTAAAAGACAAAGGAATTTGATAACTGTTTCACAGCAAAACTTTTATTACAAGAAAATTCTAAAAATATCAGTTTCTATTTATACAAAATGTGGGATTACATTTGGATCAACACAAATATCAATTACACAGATAAGACTGACATAAAATGATTGTAATCTACCATGTTAGCGATTGATCTAAATTTAAATAGTGATTAATTCTATTCCCAGGAATGACAGTGTTTGTAATAGTAAATATAACACCAACTAAAATTAGTCTTTGCTCCGAAATCAATTTATCCGCATATTTATGTCAGAAAATTAATTCAACTGAAGAATGAAACTTGTACAATACATCGAATTAGGTATGCGACATAAAATTCATTAATTTGACGATCACCATTATTCACGTTCTATTATATATTAAAATTTGTTACTTCACATTAAATCTATCAAATATTGGACAACATTTTCATTATCGACGAAACTGAATTTCACGTCGACGAAAGAAAGTAAAAATCCATAGAAAAATATGTCCGTATCTTGTAAACCAATTTTACCTATTTCCATGTATTACGAGCGAAAAAATATACACGTATTATCGTATAAAGCACCATACATATTAATTTCATCGCGATTTAAGCACTACCATATAAGTGGAAATCAGAACTATCGCGGGTAAACAACGAGCATGTTCACTGAGTTTGGAAATTAAAGCCAACGATAAAGCCATAATTAATCGCAATTTGGTAATAAACGTATAACTCGATGAACCGAACGAGTGTGCTTCTATTTAACAAAGAAAATTCCATATAAACGATTGAAAATGCATGGGAGCGTGTGTCGTTTCCGAATTAGTCAAGGGTTCGTTCTCGCCGACGGTCCGTCAAAAACTGTATTTTTAGCTGTCAAAAAGAGAAAGAGATCCGTAGTTGTCGCCCTCTTTACCCTACCGCGCTTCGCGTTCCATAACAGAATATAGAATTTAGGTTAGAATAGCGGCCTCTTACTTTAACAGAAAAAAAGAAGAAACTAATGTGTCAAGATTTAGCCTTGGCCAGCACGGTTTATCGTCACGCGAAATCCAAAGGTGGCCCGCCTGGATTACAGAAATATATATATATATATATATATGACAGTCCATATATTATATATATTATATATATATATATATATATATATATATATATATATATATATATATGGACTGTCATGTAATTACCTTTATTCGATCAGTGAAACGAAATTCCCGCTAGGAAGTGGCATATGCTAATTGATCGGGACGCGCTCACCAGCTTGCGGAAAGCTCGCGAAGTCCAACGAAAACGTAAGAGGAAGAACCTCTTGGACAGCCGTCGCTGTCCCCTTTCTTCCCTCCAACCGCCAAACCAATTCAGCCGCGTGTGAGCAACAAGTATACTATGAACATAGCTGACCATTAAATGGAACGACAAACTCTCGAATATGATTCGTTCGATTGCTATGATGCCTGTGACGCAGTTCACGAACCCTTGGGTGGGGAGATGGCTCAATTACCACTCCAACGTCTAGTAACCACTATGGTATCTAGTAACCAGTAACTAAAAACTCTTAGGTTGATATTAGCGATACATCGTCCTTTCATGTTCGATTCCGTATGTTATTAAGTTCGAATATCAAAGCTTCCGACATTAAAATTCATTAGTAGAAGTTGAAATATGCAAATAATTAAAATATCGGTAATTAGACGACAGTGGCGTCATCGGTGGGGAAATGCTCAAGTTTGTCCTCGAATAGTTCCTTTTTTAACGCTGGATGGAGCCATTTGTTTGTTTAAAAAAAAATAACGGATTTAAAAGTTAAAAAATGTTTTTATTCGAATTCTAATATCGCATTGCTGGTTCACTTGTTTGTTATTGCATATAATAAAAAAAATATTTGTAAAAATACAAATGGCGCCATCTAGCGCTTAAGAAAGGACCTCGAGGACAAACTTGGGCGTTTTCCCGGTGGTGCGCTGTACGGAGGTCGGAATTTTAGTTCCACCTTTTGACTGCTAGATGACTATAGTGAAACTCGGTCCATAATTTACCAAAGTTTCCCCTCTATAGGAGAATTATATTTCTTTGCCTCTTGGTGTCTGACAGATTGGCAAGATGGTGAGTTTTAAATATGTTATTTAAAATCTATATTTTTAACACCGATCTTACACAATATTTACAATATTTTAAATAAACATCATACAATAATTATTCATTTAACCAATTCTGAAAATATTTTTGGCTTTTATCATGAAAATAATATAATTTTAGTATTATCATTTTAACCTAGGATGTATTAGATATTACTATTATGTTTACGAATTGTATTTCTATGTTACATTATCATGTATTAAATTTGCTAAATAAAGTTATATTTACGTTACGATGTAAAGGAATTGTAGAAATTAATTAACATTAATATACATTTATAGGTTAGCTCATGTGTTAACCTCGGTGTTGATAAATATGATATATATCGTTTGATATCTTTTATCAATACTTTTATTTTATTATGTGTTTCAGTCGCTCGTAATTCCAGAAAAATTTCAGCACATTCTTCGTGTCATGGGCACGAACATCGATGGTAACAGAAAAGTTATGTTCGCTATGACAGCAATTAAAGGTGTTGGTCGTCGTTACGCTAATATTGTTTTGAAAAAGGCTGATATCGATCTGGATAAACGTGCTGGAGAATGTTCAGAAGAAGAGGTAAAAATTAATTTATTAATAATTTTATCTTCTCTTTAACTTTTAACTTCTATTTAAGGTGGAAAAAATTGTTACTATAATGGGCAACCCTAGGCAATACAAAATCCCAGATTGGTTCTTGAATAGACAGAAGGATATTGTTGATGGCAAATATTCACAGGTATGAACGATTATATAATTACCAAAGAATCACTAATATAAAGTATATAGCACGACTTTCACGACTGTTTGTACAAAATTAGTGTATAGATTAGTTGGTAGTTTGTGCGAAAGAAACTGCGCGTCGGATTGCTTGTTAATGGTAACAAGTTAACTAGCAGTCTGCAAATTTGACTGTAGCATGCAACATACGATTTCTTCAATACTACTACTTCTTTTAATCACTTTAGAAACAATAAAAAAACTGTGTTACATTGTAGCTTACAAGTTCTTCTCTGGATTCCAAACTTCGCGATGATTTAGAGCGCATGAAGAAAATCCGTGCTCACAGAGGTTTGCGTCATTATTGGGGTCTTCGTGTGCGTGGTCAGCACACAAAGACGACCGGTCGTCGGGGACGAACAGTTGGTGTATCGAAGAAGAAGTAATTTTATATCTCGCTGTTTATCAATAAATTCGTAAACAAAAATTCTATTCCATAATTAATAGTAACCCCTTAACGACCTATTAACTCTATTTATTGTAGAGAAGATTTCAACATACAACTAATAGAATTACATCTTTTTTAACAACGATTAGCGTATAATTACAGAAACATTTCGTAAATTGTTTATGTATATTTGTTACACTCGCAGAATTGACCATTTATTTGATATGCAACGAAGATTGTTTTTTTTTTTTTACAATAGTTTGTATTATTCGCATATACTTCGAAGAAAAGCTATATAGTCTATGCACAAAATGAAATACTAATTCAATATATCTATAATGCATAAGGCAGTTTCATTTAAATTCGAAGACATAATGAAACATTAAAATGCAATGGAATGTGCGGTAATGTTAATTAAATTTTCATTGACAAATCAACATTTCTAAATATGCTTTCGGCACTTTTCCTCGTTGATTTCCTCTTATACCCATAACGTAGTCTTCATCGTCGGGTATTTCAAGGACAGTGATTACCTAAAAGATATAGTTCAATTGTACAAAATTCTTAAACATGTCGACGAACGATCTATATTGTCCCTTCAAATAATAATTTATAAGCTGAGGTTAATAGGCGAGACAAGCTGAAAAGATATTTTGAGGTTGTAAACGAATAAAATACATTTAACAAATAAAATTATATATTTATTTGATACATGCAGAGTTGGAATAAATGTACATATGAGTTTCGTTCGTAACTTAATATATGGATATGCATAATTCTCGATACCAAACAAATATACAGACGAATTAGAACAAACGTGTGTGATAAACACCAAAACTAAATTTAACAAAAATAAGAAAGCTAATATACATACAAAAAACTTAAAAACTAAAGTACAAGTATCATGCACAATTCTTCACAAAAGTATAATGCCAGATTTATAAAAATGGAGATTTCGTGATATAAAAAATTAAGTTTACTTGAGTATTATATATAGTTTTAACGTATTTATAACCTTTCTTTACTTTACATCTTGCAACAACTATACGACGTGCATATCTATAGAAATTTATTTACACTACTGCTTTTTCAACTATGCCTATTTTACATATTACAAGGAAAATGTTTCGTAAATTACAAGTGTGTCTCAGAAAATCAATTTCAAAAAATGAGATAATTACTACGAAAGTTATTACGTTAACACTACGAATGCTATCTACCTACTTTCCGTTACGTCTACAATTTATTAAAACGTTGAACTGTATTCAACGAGAAAATGCACAATTGTTTTAATTACACGTACTCATATATTTCTAGAAAATGCACCAATCGTTAATGTCCTTTCTAATGGAATTTTACGTTACAGATTTAAATAATACCGACTAAATTTCGTAGAATCGAGCGAGGTCAAATTACAGAATACATTTTCTTCAACAAGTTGTTAAATTTTGTAATCAAACAAGCTTTTAAATAAAACTTACAGTTTCAGTAATGGTTCATGCCATTTGTTCGATTATGTTGCAAGCATGCTTCTGTTTATCTAAATTACAAATTTTGTTACCTCGTCTTGCACGACGCTTAATTCGCTAGAATCCCTCGCATCGTAATCGTACAGTACCCTTGCGCGTTCTTGGCCATTTTCCGCTGATACATTGGAAGTTGGTGGGGTAGTGGGGTGAGAAGGACCCCCAGATAAGCTGGGTAGGATAAATTACAGTTTGGTTCAAAATTCAATTGACTTTTGTTCAATTATTATGAATATGTATAACGTATATGATGTACATGCCAAATATAACTGAAGTTAATTAAAAATTATATCGGTAGAAACGTAAAGACATAAAGCCGTTGGACTAGTTGGAAAACATGAGTAATATTAAATTAGCATTTATAAAACGAGGAAATGTTAGAATAACAATTTCAGAAATATAAACCAATATATTCTGAACACTGCGTTTTGGTACACACTTCGTTAATACCAAATAATTTAATTTAAATTAACATGCATTAGAAACAAACATCGATTAACTACATATAGCATATTTTTAGATGTCCAGTTAGATGCAAGAAGTATTAGTAGAGTAGTAAAGCTGTGCTCTTCATTATGTTATTTATGTTAGGAATATAAACTATATACGGGGACTAAAAGTTTTCCCTCTTATAAAATGTGGTAACAATTATCGAACATTTCGTAAACATAATTTATTGATTGATTGCTGATAATTACAAGATGGACAGCGATATAATAGACTAAGAATTATTCAACATGTTTATAGGATCGTTTTATTAGTTAACAAGTACCTATATAGTAGAGAGAAAAATTTCTGTGCCCTATCATTCTCTTTGTTACTTCTGTCGCAAATACAACTAATTATTGCCTTTAATTGAGATTCACAGTTTCTAAAACTAAACTTTTGAAATATCGGTATCAAAGGTAGCAGTAACATAGGTGGAACCAGCGAGTGGTGGATTTATAGACGAGTTTTGGGATTCTGTGAGTGAGGGGGTTAGCTCGATCACATCTTCGCTGTTGACTCGCAGCAAAGGACTCGGCTGACGCGCCCTGCAATCCCAATCATGCAAGCAAAGATAGAGAATAGAACGAACACATCGGAGGAATAAATGAAACGAACGAACAGTGAGCTGCAGCGAGAACAACGATAAACAAAAATATCATTTTCATATTGAACTTCGTAATTACGACAGATTACAGTTACTACGAAAAAAAATAACAGCAGAAAACACTACATACACCAGTTTTGCAGAAATAAGCAGAGGTCTAGAAAGTAATACTCGCAACTATATACAAATCATGATGATCTTGGCGAATGAGTAATGGTTCTATTGGCTTTTAATTACATTTATGTATATATATATATATATATTATACATGGCATAGCATTCTATAGTCGTCAAACATTACTCACTCGGATCACCAAAGAGTGGGATAGCTGTACAAGGGTAGTATGGGACAATTAAAAAATACTCCCAATGAAAATGAACTTAAAACGAAACAGATTTGTTATCTTACCCAGCTAGTTCACGTTGCAAGTCTTGCATCGTTGCGTGACACTGAGCGTAATGACGCGCTTGTGCTTCAACAAATTCGTGCAAGCAACGCAGGTGTCCAGCCTGAGAACTCGAAACTCCTTCCAGTAAGAGTTTTACAATCTCTGCTTGACGGTCGAATTCTGACTGTGCTACCCTCAACTCCCTCTCTGCCTGAGTAGAGCAATAAAGAAATTTATTTCTTGTTTCTAACGACAAGACAATGTTTACACATCTTCATACAACTCGAACATTAACGACAATATATTACGAGTAAACATTATTACGATAAAAACACAGGATGAACATGTTGAATATGAAATACACGATAATAATAAAATAATAAACTACGAATTTTGAGCGGTTGGAAGTATCAGCTTCATCAATACCTGATCAAGTAACACTTCAGGTGATACACCAGACTCCTATGAAATGCAGCAGTGTACAGGACAAAGCACATAATAAACATATAAAATACAGAACAAATTAAACGATAGATGATAGAACTTACACTTTGCTGGCCCAGCATGCTTCTCGCTTTTCTTACTCTATTCTTACATGCGTCCAGATCCAATCTAAAAATCATTATTTTTTATATTAAAATTAAATGCATTACTTTAAAGAAAGTGCGGAATATATACCGTTTATTTGCTAGTATCGCCATTTCCTTGCTAACAGTTTTCATTTCACCTTCCAAAAATTTTCTTAAGGGTTGTATATAACAATTAGCTGCAGTGCTGATAAAGTCTCTTTCAATTTGTCCTAATTTCTGCTCGCATTGACCGACTTTTATTAACGCGCTACCTACAATACAAAATATTAAAAATGCAGTTTTAAATTCATTTTAATTATTTTGAAATAATATATTTATGACAGGAATTAAATCTGTACCATAAGCAATTCCTGGACCAAAATCATTTCCAGCTTCTATCATATCCATGCCCACGTATTCTAAATTGGTCAACCTGTTAGGCTTCTTTTTGTCGATTTTCTCATAGAAGAAATCTTCAATTCTGTTGCCTGTAATAAGTTATACCATATAATAGACATATAAAAATCTCCTTCAGTTTAAAATTCTTATTTGAATAATTTTGTTACCTGGATTTGGAGTAAGCACAGACTCCATATTTCTAAGAATTTTTTCAGTCCATGTTTTGGTTGCATTTGCCCTTTCAGAAAGATACTCTAAGTGTGCATCTAATTCTGTTTTTTCTGATGTTCCTAACGTTTCTTCTGTCAACTGTAGAAGACAATCGAGAATTACACAATTTTTCTACTGTATAAAATTTTACATAACAAGTACATTTTGCTAGCATAAGAAAACTGATTCCTTTGTTAATAATTTTATTTTCTTGTATTCAACATAAAACAATATGTTAGTCTGCAAATAAAAGGACAACATCTTTAATCATTCCAACTTATTCAATATGTTCTGAGTCATCGAATGATTAATTATTTAGCTCACAGATATTACACACAATTCAAACGAAGTGTACACAAGAAAGCAAGACTTGTAATCTTAAGAGATACTACTAACAACAATACAGATAATAAATACTAAAGTGTACAGCATAATCGTCGAAATTCGATATATTTACTAACCTCAGCTTTAGATAATTAAGTTCGAACTACAGTCAAAAGTGTACAAATCCTATTCAGTTAATAGAATGTATCGTAAATGTTGGAATTTCACGAGAATAAGGAGAAAGAGTAACTGACAGATCACGGTTATTCCATTTAAAATTTCGTCCTCGTCGAGGGAAAAAAAGAGTACAAAATGTCAGAAATGACAGCGTTCGGTTGCGACTGGCTCAACAAAAATACACACTTTCCTGTCAGCTAGAATTTGTTGAATCACTATAGCAAGCATTTCTCACCTGCACGACCCTACTGAGCGCTGCACCAGCATCTTTTACCAATTTCTTAACATTGAAATCCATTTTTACGTCTGTTTCGATACGAATCTTCTACGATCAACCCCTGCCTGCAAGTCTTTATTTTCTATCGACCACAAACTCTAAGTACCTCCGCGAAGTGGCGCTTCATAACAATTTGCGCATACAGTTTGCTGCAGTTTGCCATTTATTTGAACCGTTCGAACCTATATCTTTTTACCTTTAGCCGCGGATTCTCTCGCTTAAATAAAATATTCATTAAAATTAAACGTTTCCCCTTCATCAGAGAGCAATAACTTAATTTTTATACGCATAAAATTAGAAATATCTGCAATTAAAATTTGTACAATCTTCTTACTATCGATAATTTGCTTGATTAATAAAGTCTGTTCCTGTAAAGAAATTGTGTTTTCCTTAAATCCTTGTCCTTCTATTTTATTTATTATCCTTATTCTCTATAATTATGATTTTGTAAACGTTTATTCGATTAGCTAAGAAAACTGTTTGTATGTGTACATAAGCACATGCATACAGAATGCTGATGGAATTTCGTGTGATGCATGAAAAGCGTGAGAGATATATTACTCATATAATTACTCAATAAGAAATTACTCATGCACGGTGTGATTTTGAAAAATTTAAAATGGTGAGTAGAATATAAAAAATTTTCACGGTGTGTGTGTGTCATATTTGGTATTACTAAAGATAAATAAAGGCGTGTTAACCTTCATAAATAAAGGTTAACGTCAAACTTACGTTTACCTTAACGTCACATTGCGTAAGATCAACGTAGAATTAAACATCTCTCGAACATAAAATATCAACAAATATTTTAATGAAAATGCAATCGATCCAAAACTATAGCAATAATAATATATTTTCTCCACACATAAATCTTACTCATGAATGTGTTCGAATTTTCCCTCAATTTCATTCAGATAGATTGATTTGATATTTTATGAATGAAACTGATGTAATTTCTATAACTATGTTACAAATGCTCCATTATTATACTTATGCTTATATATATATATATATGTTACATGTAGCATAGATTTTATCAAATGCTTCTATACTGTTTTGAAAAAAATATTAGGTTTTACACCAGGAAACCGTTGATATATAGTCAAACAGAATTGAAATCCATTTGTATAAATTCAATTGCAACAAGAAGCATCTCACAGATTGCTATGGTAGATGAAGAAAAAGACTCTGAAGTCGAAATTATGCAGTCAGAGCTGCATACGTTGTCTTGGCTATACAAAGCTGCTCCATGCTTCCCTATAAATGGATCGAAGGTAGAAAAATTATGCTATAAAAAATTTGTTTTTCTAGAAAAATTTAGAATGCAATGATTTTTCTCTTTTCAGATTAAGATTATTCATGAACCCAGCATGTTTTATTCTACTCTTATAGAAAAATGTAAAAATGCAAGGAGAAGAATAACATTTGCATCCCTGTATTTAGGCACTGGAAAATTAGAAATTAATTTAGTAAGAACGTTTAATAAATACGCGTAACGATACCGATGAAATTACGAAAATTTGATTATGACTTTCATGCTTAGGTAAAAGCTATAGATCAGGCTTTGAGTACAAGTAATGGTAATGTTGAAGTTAAAATTTTGTTGGATTTTATGAGAGGTTCCAGAGGTAAATTGAACTCGCGTAAAATGTTAGAACCGTTACTTAAAGGGAAATATGGTAATTGCTACCAGATTTTTCTGTACCATACTCCAAAACTTCGAGGATTATTAAAGATGATGATACCAGATCGTTTCAATGAATTAGTAGGACTACAGCATATGAAGTTATACTTAATAGATAACGACATAATAATTAGTGGGTAAATATATGAATCGTTAACTCCGCACAGAATTATTTAAGTACATAATCACATGCCTGTAGAAGTTAAGTTAATTGTTTTATTTTAGAGCTAATCTTAGCAATGATTATTTTATGAACCGACAAGACCGTTACTTTCTAATCGAAGATTGCAAAGAGCTTTGTGATTTTTACAATGAATTAGTCGAAAGAGTAGGAGAATTTAGCTTTCTGCTCCAACCAGATGGAACTGTAGTATTAAATTCTACCGCAAACGTTCATCCGTTTAAAGATTCTTCGAAAAAATTCATCGAAAGTGCCGCGCATAGCGTGAAAACTTTTATGCAAAGGGAAATAGAACGCTCTAATTTTGAAAAAATAGGTACATATATTTTTATTTTAAGTATATATATATATATATATGTACAATTTTTGTTCAAATTATAGATACATTTATGAGCAAATAATTCGTAACAAGAATTTAATTTGAAATACTTCGATAGGAAAAGATTCAAATACGGATACTTGGATCTTCCCTTTGATACAAATGGGTCAACTAAACGTTCATCATGATAGCGAAATAACATTGAAACTTTTACGAACGGCACCACCAGGTACAACACTTAGATTAGCAACTGGTTATTTTAATTTAACTTCAGAATACAGCAATGCATTACTTAGCGACTGCAAAGGAATATGTCATCTCCTAACAGCGCATCCAACTGCCACTGGCTTCTTTTGTAAGTTAATGTTGTAAACTTTGGGTAACGAACAAGTTACGACGTTTTTAATTAACGTAATTAAATTAAACATCGAATTCAGCTGCAAAGGGTGTTGCTGGTGGAATTCCAGCAGCGTATACGATAATAGAGAAATCGTTTGTCAAACTCTGTGACGTCATGGGACAACAAAAAAGAGTGACTTTATGGGAATTTATTAAATCAGGATGGACGTACCACGCGAAAGGATTATGGTATTCTTTACCAGGGCAAGAGAAACCTTGTCTGACACTTATTGGATCACCTAATTTTGGTAAATTATATAATTTGGAAAATAACTAGACATTGAATAATTAAAAAATGATCGTAATAAAAATCATATATATGTATATTAATTTTAGGTTATCGATCAGTCAGCAAGGATTTAGAAACTCAAATTGCTGTGTTGACGAAAAACCAGAAGTTACAGAATGAATTACAAAAAGAACACGAACGATTATTTTTGTGCGCGAAGCCAGTAACAAACAGAACATTTAACGAACAAGATAGAATTCCACCGAGATGGGTATGCGGCATAGTTTTGCTGTTTCGATATTATTTTTAAATAATATGGGATAGATGAATTAAAAAAATTATCCCTTGTACAAAATAAAAACGTAAATAAGAATGATCGATCGAGGTTTTAATTTATAGTTTCTTCAGTCATCGTGTAGCGTTTAAAATTAGCTAAAAAAATGTGTGTGTCTTTTCCTGTTAATAAATATGTTCGACTCTATAAAGCTAGCTATATGGGTTCAATAAATAAAAAGTACAGTGAATGTGGTTATACTGATAATAATTATTTGTTGATTGACATACTATCCTGTATGGAACGTGATAAAACTTTATGGTACTATGATTGCGACGTTTTACACGAAACGTCGAAACAGTGGAAGCAATTCCAATTAGAGTGCAGAAATAATACAAAAGAAACTGTTCATAACCACTTAAATTAGTCATTGTTTGCTATTGAAAGTCACAATTAATGTGACTCTGGAAGATAATTGTTTCAATGACACTTTGCACAAATGATTGAATCGGTTTTGCACTAGAGATTTCCAAGAATGGCAGACAGGAAAACTTCTCCCACAACTTTTTATTTATTTGTCGTCCAGAATGAACGTTTCTTCTTTGACGAAAAATTCAATTACTTCCTCCTCTACGTTCTTCGAATCAGAATCTAATTCATCGGTATCAATGTCTGAAAAGAAATGGTTTCGATACATTGTGTTCTAGACATTTACGTTTAAAACTTAAAAATAAACATTAGTTATAGTAATACATACTATTACGTAATTCCAAACGTCGTTTTTTCTGGTTATTCCATTCTTCGATACGTTTCAAACGATACTCTTCGAACGATTTCATCGCCGCACAGCGTTTCTCAATTAATTCCTTCGAAGCACGGGTTAATCGCATACGATCTTTGCTCTCGAATTGTGCAGAGTATTTCTTCAAATTTTTCTTAATTTCTTTAATTTGTTCTGGCGTCAATAACGTCGCGGGCCTTGGTCGCCACAGTAATTGATTGAATTGATTCAAATTAACTCTTTTCAAAATACGACCTTGGAACGTCCATATCCAATACCCATTATCAACGCTAGTTTTCCAACTAGAAACGGCTGTTACAACGTACCTGTAACAAAACACGTACTTATGTAATTTCTATAATATAATTTATCTGTATAGAAAGCTATAGCATATAAAAATAAAGTACATCACTCACCGACCAGTAGGATCCCACTCTACGTCCGAAGTTTGATAATGATCAGTCGAATTCATGATGGTAAAATCGTTAGTGTCGATGAACTCTAAAGCCCCTGCCATAGTCGTCAATCCAGCAAGGACAATAAATTGTCCCGATGGCGACCAAAACAAATGATTGCAAGCCTTTTTCTCCAATTTCTCTGTTAAAAAAATATGGTGTTATAGTGCATGCAACGAAAAATTCAAGGGATACAAACATGGTGGACTATACCGAGACTTACTGAGAAGAGCAGGCTGATGACCGTATCGCACTTCATAGAAACTGACATTAACGTTTGGAATTTCTCCATGAATAATAGCAAATTTACTTCCAACGGGCTCCCAGGCGAACGCGTGAATTGGTTCCTTTATCTCAACGCTATCGACTGGAATTTGTTTCTCTCTCATATGGAAGATTTCAAAATTGTACGACATACCCTAATGGCAAATATATAAATTATTATGCGCACAATATATATTTTTATCGTATTCAAGAATCAGATTATCAAGTACCGTATACTTCTGTTCAGTTTTCTCTTTACGCTTAGCGAAACGATCGACTTTTACACAAAGATAATCTCCCGACTTCTGCCAATATATTTTGCAGTCAGCTACGTTAAACAAATTCTTGTTACGTATTTCATTACGGCTGAAATATAAATTGTGATAATTAATCATTTAACAACGAAGTTACATACGTAGAGATTCAATTAAGATTATTACTTTGGAATTTCGAGAAGAGTAACTCTAGCTGGAACATCCTTATCTTCCGGTACCCAGTAAGCAAGAATGTTATCCGTCGGCGACCAACTAAAATCTCTGATTCCAGGGATCTTTATGCTTTTTTTATCCAACAATCCAAACGACTGTAATATTTATAATGAATTGATTTATCAAATTTAAATGATTGTATTACACAGTAAAGCATATATGAAAACAAACGTACAGGCGTTTCGTAAACGCTCAGAATATCTTCTCCCATACGAGCAAGATATTTATCATCGTGCGACCAACGAAAGATGGGCCATACCGAGGAACCATCCGCATAAAACGAACGTTTTTCCTTAACGGTAAGAATATCCCAAATTACGAGACGTTTCTGATCAGAACCGAGATCAGTTCGAGGAGTATACGTTACTAAGTAACGTTCGCAAGGCGAGAAATCGATACACTCAACACCCTTCTGATTAAACTTTGCTTTTTGCTCGAATTCTTGACCGCCCCATAACGCGACTCCTGGTTTGTGAAATGTCGATAAATATGTTCCCAATGGTGACCATTTAACATATGTCTCCGTCCAGCGCTGTTAAAAATATATAATTTTTAAATAACATAAACCAGTAGTAAAACTTCTATTGTAACCCAACGTGTATAATGACTTACAGATCGTTCTTCGAGTATCGTTGGTTCAGGGGCAGAATTCTGCCAAACCTGAACAGTGACTGAAGGACCATTTCCATAAAGTACACAAAATTGATCATAAGCATCTGGTTCTAATAGATAATAGTGCAAATCTGTGGATGCTTTGAACGGTTGTGGTTTTGGTGGTTCCCACTCATCTGGTATCTCTTCAAACTTTTTGAAATCGGTAAATAAATTTACTTTGAACGTATGTAGTTTGTCAATTTTGTAATTATTTACAGATTGTGCTGCTGCTAAGGCATTAAGGGGGTTATTATATTCTAGAAATATATACCTGCAATAAAATTAATTATGCATATTTTTATAGGTACAACTGACTTAGCATTAATTATCGAAAAATTATATCCACCCTTTTGTATATCCATTCTCATTTTTGGGATAGTATTGGTTTACTATTGTGCCCGATTTTCCTAAAATTTTGTTAATAACAGATTGAAGTTTCTCCAATCTTTCAGGCTCGACTTGGGGAACTCCATCGACGACAATAACCGACTCCACTCCATCTGTCTCCGATGGTTTTTGCTTCAATATATCACCGAGAAGTTCTGCAAACATCAAACTCTAATATTAATTTTTTATTCGTGACAAAGCATTGCGAAAATTCTCTTTGCGACGTATACTTTAAATTCTAATACATTTCGCTATCAGAGAAATAAAATACTCGTGACTTTTAAGGTTAAGTTCGCGTGCCACATTTGCGACAATACGTAGCCATGCCTTTAGTCATCGTATCGCAGCTATTGTCGAGTGTCATTCAGGAAAAATTGCATTTACCTTCGTCGGTGATATCGTCCACAAATCCTTCTGGATCACTAAAATTAGGTTCCTCATCGTCGTTCAATATATCGTCATTATTTTTAACAGAATCTTCGTTTTGAGGCGTTTTATCCGCCACCGATTTCTTCGCCATCTTGGAAACCTCTCAGCGCACGGTGTATCAACTGAAAATGGCAGCGAGTCGCCCTTTTCCATTCGGTGCAACTTTTGAGAAGTGGAAGTGGTCAAAGTCACGTTTATTTCAATTCATTCTGATCAATGTTACTGCAACTACGTTGATATTTTTCATTGCTGACGATTATTTTATTTGTATACATATATTTATCGATTCTACAGTTACAATGATTATTTCAATGTAGTTTCAGGATTAGATATTTAGATATTACAAAATATATTGTATAAAAGTAATTGTTAGATGCACGTATCTACTATTCGCAGGAGAAAGGAATGAGTTTGCTTTTTTAAAATTACGAATTGGATGGACGTCTTATGTAGTCTCAAACTATATTACTCGATTATCTCTAGGTTATTTATCTCTCTAAAATGACCGTTTTCGTAATTTTGAAAATCTCAATTCTGAATACGCATGTCATACTCATGTACAGAGTCAGGACAAAGTACATTTACTACTTCTTATGTATTTGTCGTACGTACTATTAAATTAAAATAACTATTAATGCAGATTCTCAACGTTTATTAGAAGGAAGAAGTTGGGTCAAATCATAATTACAAAGATGTTTTAATAGTCAAAACATACTTTAATAAAAGTATTACATCAAAATATGGTTTAATCTTCTTCTTCCTCTGGAGCAGCTCCTCCACTTCCCTTACGCAGATTCTTCCTCTTTACACGACCGGGTCTGCCACCTCCGAACGGCGACTTCAGCGAGAAGTCAATGTGCTTTTGCGAATCTAAACGTACGATGAAAGATGGAATGTTCACCACTTGTTTGCGCACTCTGAAACAGTATGCATATATCTCATGTCTAACGCCTACGTTCTTAAATATCACATATTTTCTAAATTTCGATAATCTTAAATGAAATCTATTTAATATACAATAAATATACCAATTATCATTAATTGTGTACACATCCATTAGCCAAATAACAGACGTTAAGCGTCAGTATCCTGACGCTTAAGTGGCCTGTCTGAAATAAAAACAGCTTTCGACAATTAATTTAATTGATTCAATCGGCCGAACCAGAGTTTGGATACCTGCAGTAGCCAAAAGACTATTATTTTCAAAATATACAAATATCAAATGAAAGATGAAAAAAATATGTTCTATAAACAATTCAAAAAATGTGTCTCCCGGTCATGAAACCAGAATAGTAATAAATAATCCTAGACTGGAGATTATCCGGGATTTTAATGTAGCCTTAAAGATTAGAAACAATCTGTGCAGAATCAGATATTTCTTGCCCATTTTTTAAGGCATACAAGCATCTATATCTGAAAAAAAAAAAACCTACCGAATGTGACGTTGACGGATGAGTACGCGAGCATGATGAATAGACTTGGCCAGTCCCAATTTGAATACTTGAGTTTGAAGACGCCTTTCCAAGAAATCCTCGATTTTCAAACCGAGAACGTAATCGAGCTTCATGCGGCTTTCGTCCAATACACCGATTCTTACCAAACGTCGCAAAAGAGCATTTCCTAATTAAATAAAAACTTTAGTAAAAAAAAGCGCAAGCCCGTAATATAAATATTATCTGTCTAGTATTCTATCAGTAAAAACAATACTTCGTCAATATTATCAGACAAGAGGTGTCAGTGAATGTTAATCATCACGATCTTTTAAGCAAAGGAGTTTGTAACACTTAAAACAAGTTGATATGGATTATCTTTAATAATATACCTTCGAACAGACGTTTAGGATCCTTTTCTTCTAAAGTAAGAAGCTCACGAGCAGCTTTCCTGATATTTGCCAAGGTGTATTTAACCCTCCATACTTCTCGCTTGTTACGAAGACCATATTCACCGATAATTCGTAATTCTTGATCAAGACGAGCCTTTTCGTAAGGTCTCCTAGGTGTGACATAAGTCTTTGAAAAGACTGACGGAATTCGTCCGTTTACCATCTTGTGCAGTCGTTAACCTAACGTGAAACAGATAATACATTTTCTAATTTACTGTAACTTGTAACTTGGTGCTACTAATTTTTATAAAAATATTAAACTTCGTTAAATCTATTAACGTACAAATTAAACTACGGTTATTGAACTAGTATAGTCTATTCTTTAATTGAACACGTGGTGGAGTCACAAGTTTGAATAAGACTACAAATTCAAAGAAAAATGTTATTCGAATTCAAGAATATTTTTAAACGAATATATGCCGTAATACTTGCGATACTTTAATTAATTTACGTGAAGTATTGAAAAACTAAAGAGAAATATTGAACTTACTCACCTGTACAAGTACAACGACCACACCACGTTGCGATTGAAATGGAAATGGCCGAGTGACGAGATCGTTGAACGGAAATGAATTTGTGAAGTGAACGCAGCGCCCCTTCCGGAAATGTCGAACTATCCCAATACAAATTTTCACTCAACGAGTAAGTCATAAATGATTGTTTATTTTTTATTCAAAATTTTTATCTCGATAAGAATTATACTTCTATATTTCTTTCGGGCAATTAAAAGCGCCAGTATTGATTCTATTAGATACCTTGCTGACGCTAAAAACGACATCTATTGATCAATTTTTGAACATGCGCATTAAAATTAGATTACAGAAAATAAGTGGAGTTGCCTTTCTATGTTACTCCATGTTAGTCTATACTCTATGGTACAACAGATACGAATAAATAAATTAAATTATTTTTCTTCTTCGAATGTAGTTAATACTATTTCATTTTTACAATGAACAGTATTAAAAGACTCTTATTATTTAACTTTAGTATGACATAGAACAAGTATTATTACAGTAAGGTTATTTTTTGCTCTCCTTCTGAAAGCTTATCTAAAGCTTATCTAGCTTACATTGTATTTACCAGTTTTAATTGATAAATACAAACGTAGATCTGGAGTAAATAATACGTAATTGACCCTCGTTGACCATGCACGATCACATTCACATCACTAACAAATATCTTGGACACAATGAATTTGCAGGAATAGATAACAGAAATTTTTATCAGTCGCGTGACTTTTTACGATCCCTTTGTTTCACATTGCTGTTAACAATTTTTGCATTATTCTTATACATTTATCACACCTCGAGTTCACACGTGTTTTAGTGAATATAAGTTGAACGCGACAACGTATAAATTCTTGATTTCTAGCTTTTCTAGTTGTATCCTAATTAAGTCGTTTAACGAAGTATTTAATTGAAAATTCTAATCCATATACATGCCAATTTTTTTTTATTAATTATAAGTATACCTTTATTGTAAAAGATATTAAGACACATGTATGTATACATATATATATATATATGTTATTTTTAGATAAGTAATTATATTTTTTTTCCCTTAGAGTAATTTTTGATTTCGAAAATTTGTATAAATAATAGATGAACTTTGTAATCAATAATTGTATCTTATTTTATACAATAGTTGGACACATATTATGATGTTAAAATCAATGTGGAGAATAAAAAACATGTTTTGTGATTTCTGTATCTTTAGATTGACCATGTAATGGAATAAGTCACGTTTAACGTTAAGTCACGTTTAATTCACGTTTCAGTTTGATATTCTTGGATTTTTTGCTCGATTATGTTTTGATATGCAGGGTTATTCTATTGACCCCGAAAGTGGTGAAACGAAGATAAGAGAAGACGTAAGTAGCTGTCACGTTTTAAATGTACTCAGTATCTTAGCAACACTTAAGGAAGTATTAAGAAAGGTTTTTTCTTAGTCTCGTGATTTACTAAGAAATAGTTCATTTTTCTACAATTCCAAATATATTTATTTCCTAAGCTTCCCATACAATTTGAACCGTCATGGAGGCTTTGGGACTTGTAAGTACTTCAGCCTTACTATTCTGAGATATAAAGCTGTTTATAATACTTCACGTTTTCCTTGATTATTTAAATAATATAAAAATAATATTAGTATTTAAGTAAGAAATACCTCTAACTATAAGAGGTGTACCAGAGGATGGATGATATACGTGGAGTTGTATCCACCACTTATGAGTTTGCGAGCTTCATGTCCCAAATTTACAAGTATAAGCTGAAAAAGAAAATAAAAGATTATCTATTCTAAGACCATCACGAACATTAAACTATCGTAAAATTAAATACACTTACACTTACAGTTGTTTTTTTTGTTAACAATATGCTTTTGTAATTTGAAATTATCTTATGGATATACTTTTTTAATTACATTAAATCAATGGGATAAATATCGTAAAAACAACTATTGTTACGTAATATTATAATAAATTTGTTTCATAGAATGTAGCCGTAATTCTAGATCATTACATATACGTCATTGAAAGCAACTCAAAAGTAGTTCATGTAATTAGTGTATACATGCTTTTAATAAAGGAATAATTATTTTCGTGATTAATGATAACCTAAGGAACTCCATTCCGCAGATAATAACTATATTGACCTTTCAAAGGAAATTTATAACTCACGTGAGCACACTCGTGCAAGATAGTATGTAATGATAAATTCATTACTATAGTTATTGCTACATTAATGTGTACATATTTCGTTATACGTTATAAAAAACTATTTTGTATTTTTAGTATCCTATTTTGAAGTCTTTTCTTGCGGGATCAGTGTCTGGTACTTTTTCAACTATTTTATTTCAACCATTAGATCTTATTAAAACAAGACTTCAAAGTAGAGTAAACCTTCGCCTCGAGTAAGTAGAAAATAATAATTTGTATTTCGTAATTATTTCGTGCAAAATTGATCTCGTTAAATCACATTTTTTTTTATTAGTTCTGCAAACAGTGGAACAATTGGAACAGTAATCCATATAATAAAGAAAGAAAATGTATTTGGACTCTGGAGGGGTATGACTCCGGTAAGAATTCGACGATTAACATAACGAGTTTCCATGTGTTGAAAAATAATACTAATTAAAAACATATTTTTGTAGTCCATCACCAGAGTTATCCCTGGAGTTGGATTATATTTTTCATCGATGCATTGGTTAAAACACACATTCCATTTAAAAGATCCGATTACACCTACAGAAGCAATGTTGTTAGGTATTACAGCAAGATCTATGTCTGGAGCTTTAGTAATTCCAATAACTGTAGTGAAAACACGTTTCGAAGTATGTATAGTTGTTATTGATATGTATTTCTCAAATTACATGGAATTAAAACATACAGTATTCTGCATGATACAAATTGCATGGGAATGGACAGTTTAGTATCGACTTCATTTTACAGAGCGATGTTTATAAATATAATAGCATAAGGGAAGCATTGAAGTTAATTTACAAGCAGGAAGGAGTACGAGGACTTTCAAGCGGATTAGTACCGACCTTATTAAGGGACGCTCCGTTTAGTGGTCTTTATCTCATGTTTTATACTCAATTAAAAAATATTGTTGTGGAAACAGGTAATTTTAATTTATATATGGAATAAAAAACAAAATTTGGTATTGCTCTCGATATTTGTAACGAACGTTTATTTCCAGATTTACCAGGCGATAAATCGTCAGCTCCGGTTCATTTTAGTTGTGGGATACTAGCAGGAATATTTGCTTCTATCGTAACACAACCTGCCGACGTAATCAAAACGAAAATGCAATTGTATCCAAACGAATTTACGGGTGTTCGCAGTGCAATTTTTCGGGTTTACGAAAAATACGGAATGTTTGGATATTTCAAAGGCATCGTTCCACGAATGTTACGAAGGACATTAGTGACCGCTATGGCTTGGACTGTATATGAAGAGGTAGCATATTTTTTTACGGATCTTTCAAGTTTTTATTATTAAGACAATTTTAAAATAGATCACACGAATTAAATAATATATTACTTTCAGGTTACAAAAAGTATGGGGCTTAAATAAAATTCTTCTATTTAACGATATGCGAATTTACGCACGACAAAATGAAAGATGCTCAACTAAATGTTTACACTCGATACACAGTATTTTAGTTTGTACAGAAACGATTTGATTATAGCAGAAAATTGTATTATAGCAAATATTACTACTATGTACAGTATTTGGATAGAGTATCCTATCGCTTGATAATGTATTATTAATGTATATACTTATTTAATAAATTATACAGTTTGTTCAATATTGTACAGTATTATACAATTTCATTGATTTATAATCGTTGGGTTCCGATTATATGAAAAATATTTGCACGTTCTTTTTTTCTTTTAAATAACCTGATGCTTTCATTGTAGTACTGTTTTATTAATGTCAATTAACAATCTTACGAGTATTACAATGCAAATTATAGATAATTTACCTTAATGTCTTTTTATATATATATATATATACAGACAGCCTAAAATAACATTTGCATCAAATATGAATAAATTGCTAATAAATTTGTTTTAAATATATCTTGATGGTGTGACATAACATTGACAACGATAATTACGATTTGAATTTCGAGAATTTAAATTTCTGTAAATAATTTTAAAATAGCGCGATGCGATGGAAATTAATTCAGACGCAGTTCGTATAAAAATCACGATTTCTTTTTGAATTTGTAGATTATGCAAAATCTTTACCTTAATATTATATTAAGCAGTGTGCAAGTGAGCCTGTTGCATTGATTATATCCCCATGGTTTGTCTTCTTCTGTCTGAAAATAGACAACATATTTTTTAGAAATTACGATTTCATTACTCCTTTCTTCTCGTATTAATTTCGATCGTTACCAAACACCTAGATAATGTATTTATATATTATTTATTAACCTTGCCTTAATACACGAAATAATTTAAAAAATATGTATGTATGTATATGTATATATACATATATATATATCATACTTCTGTCGGCTACATGTGTGCAAACCAAGATAATAAATTAAGAATTATGATCATCTTTGATTGCAACATTGGAAACAAAAGGAATGAAGAAATTTATTAACATTTTTATGGACGATTAGTCGATACCGATTGCTATGATAGAAAGCGTTTTAATGTACAATAATGGTTTTACTGCTTCAAATCTAGTTCGAAATTTCTTATTTTACAGTATACAGGTTAAAACAGACTTTAAAATTGAATACACATACATATATTTACTCCAAATTTAATACTAAATATATTATTTGATACTGCAGTTTATTAATGTTACAAAATACAAGTTAGGTGGAAGTTTGATACGTTGTGGCTGAAATACTATAAATTTGTTAATTTTTTCTAAGTATATCTTTCGTCCCAATGTAACAATACAAGACGACTCTTTACTCAAAGCTATTATTTTTATATTGCCTTTTCTGTCTAGTTGGTTCAAAAAGCAGATTATTCAGGGCAAAAAACACGAATCACACAAATGTAGTACACGCGTAAAGTATGAGTCTTCTATCAAGCCGAAATGAAGAACACGACGAAAAGAATGAGACAAGATATGATTAAGAGGGATTTCCTAGGAGCACCATATACAATACATGATTCCATGTGACCTGTCATCAATCGACCTTCAAAACGACGTACTATCTGACGTTAAAGATTACGACTAACCCAATTAGAAAATTTTACTAAACTTCACCCGTGTCCTAGCTTTCAAAATTAAAAATAACGAAGAAAAAATGCATGCAAAGGGAAGAAGTGTTTTCGGCGTACATGATACATATTTCTGGAACTTTTTTTATTTATAAAGTTCGGAAGAAAACACATTTACCGATGCGAATATATACCAGCTTATAAGCCCAATTTATTTACTGCTTCGTCAATTGTAGCCTGAGGGCCGTTAAACAATTATAATTATAATTATTTAAATTATTTTTTTGGACCTATACCAGATATCTTCTCAGACTATATCGGTAGACACATCGTTCGGCTTTAAACTGAATATGCTCCAATAAATAGCAATCAAGGAATAAGGAAAGTAACAGCAGGAGTTTGTTATTGTAAACTTTAAGCACTCAAGTATCGCTCCAAAATAAAGATCACCATTTTTCAAAATATCTAACTTTCCTAATAAAAGGACATGTTTGGTATTATCATTCCGATATAAATACCTCAGAAATGCGTAGTAGAAGCTAGGATTGTATAGTCACAGTCACACAGGGCACTGTTGTGGCAGGTCTACGGAAGTAGGCACTGTTTTCCTCCACTAAACCACTAATTTCTTTTCGACAAAAAAGCTATGCAGTCGTTGATATTATATAATTGATTTACCCTATGAAGACATTATACCGATCAAAGCAAGCATAGGTATACCTTCTCCTATCTTGCTCTGTAGACAATATCTATAATACTACATGATAAAAATACCTTTCGTATGGGAACGACTTTTACTAATCCTTGCTCGACATTACCTCGATGCACCTTTTTTCAGTAATATGTTACATAGAGCAAGCTCGTCACTTTGAAAATTAAACGCTGTACGATCAGGTCCATATGAAATTTAGTTAGAGTGTTTCTCCGATTAATAGGCAGGACCAGAGACTGACTCGCTGTGACTATGCCATTCTTCAAAATTACAGATAATTATCATGTATATATTATGTGCATCTAATGAAACTCACCTGGTAAAGGACCTGTACAGTAATTGAGACGAATATGGTATATTGTTTAGTGCATACCTGGCTTACTTCTCACTCACTAACCAATCAAGAGTAGTTACTTGTGACTTCGACTTCTAGATCGATGGCGGCGACGATTATGATGACTCGAGCTTCGATGATCACGATTTCCTAAAACCATACCATAACGCATTTGTTAATCAGTTCTAATTAATTCATTCTAATTATGTATTCTATATCTACCTTTATCTCGAGCATGACGTCGATGATTATCATCATCCCGATGTCTATCGTGTTTATCTCTTGATCTGCTTCTACTTCTGTGTCCAGAATTTCTAAACATAATTAGTATCGTGAAAAAAACATACTCGATAATTTAATAAAAACAAACGTAACCAAATATTAAATAATTTACCTATGGCTGCCTGAGTCATGCCTGCCCTTGTCATCATCGTTACGTCGACGTCGTTTATCTCTTTCCCTGTCTCGATCCCTATCTCTGTCTCCATCTCGTCTTCGCCTATCGAGTTCTTCATTAGCACGCGCTCTTTGTTTTCTGTCTTCCTCTCTTCTTTGTTCTTTCTCGTCTCTAGCTTTCTCGCGTTTATTCTTAAGAGATACATAACATTTAAAACGCTTGAAGGTACATATGAAATTTCTTATTATAAATATCAAGTTACCATAATTTCTTGAAGAGCACTCTTTAATCTGGCATATCCAACATGTTGTTTACCCATTAAATGATCGTCGATTCGTTGTTGAGCATCGCCGACAATAAGAAATGCGCCGCATACGTCACATACCTCCATCTGTTTCTCCTGTGCAGCAGCCAGTTCAGCCGTCTGAAATAAATTAGCGCCTCATTTTATAATACAATTCGCCTATTACATATTACCACATTTCACATTATAATATTTACTTGATTATAATGACTGTTATCATTAGATTTTCTGAGTGTTTCTCGTTCTTCCTTTAACTGATCGCATAATCTCATTAAGCCTTGGGCCTGTTCCACATTCCCTTGTATGCCACTTTGTTCTGCCTCTTCTACCAATTTATTAATTTTCTCAGTTAAAAGAGCAATTTGTTCTTCGTTTCTTTGAGTTTGTGCTGGTGTCAAGGTAGGCTAAACATACAAATTCATTAATTTTTCCATTATTATTTTAATAGCAACTCAATAGAGTAGAATGGAATGAATTAATAGAATAGAACTCGAAATTGGTCTTACCGCTTCTGTTCTTCCTATAAGAGCTAACCGTTGCTTTCCCTTTATTATTTTCCTTTCGACTTCGTTCAACATGCTTTGACAGAATCTTATAAATTCATCCTCGTATTGCTGTTTTCTATACGAGTACGGCGCTTTCTCAAACAATTCCCTGGCCTCGTCGTCGTGTACGCGGGAACACGCACCCAAATCGGCTCTCGTATTAACAAACAGATCGTGTGGACAGAATTTTACCAAATATAATTTGCAAAACTGGAAAGAGAAGAACATTTTCGTATTGTTATTGAAATATTCTTTATATTCATTCATGACTGCGTCGTTGAAATATCCACACTTGCGAAGACCCACCTCTGAATCTTCCCAATTCAGTTCTTTGGGTTTCTCATTGGGAAGAACATTTCGGTTTCTTCCCATAAGCTCGTCGAGCAATGCAGCAGCGGCAGCAGCAGCCATATTCCAAAATTCTTTGCGACGAAATGTCGTTTATCAAGGGTAGACGCAAAGCTGCACCAACAGCTATTCAGACGAATAACACAAAAAATATATTATACGTCGTTCGTTTCTCGCGTAGAAGGAATAACAGGCGACGAAACAATGTGAATCGATACGAAAACGAGACAAATCCACGAGAACATTAAGAGACACGAACGATATGACGATACATAAGTTCTAATCTAACGCCCGAAGTTTTTCTCTTAGGAAGGCGGTAGTGTAGCAAACAATATGGCCGACATCAGCCGACATCAAGTGTATTTACGCATTTTACATAAAAGGGAACAAGAGAAACATTAAATTTCTACGCGTTCACTTTGATAAACAATGAATACTAGACGGATCATGGCTTCTTTTATATTTGTATCAACTGTTTCCTGAAATTAAATTTCTTTTATTGATATACATGTCATATAAATGCAACTAGGTTTGATGCTATTTTTTAGCGAGAATTAATAATAACTTCGTCTTTTAAGATTTACAAATTCATTTTATTGTTAGTAAATTAGTATAAAATTGCATAGAAATTTTAGTAAATTCACGGTAACCAAGGGTAACCAGACTTCGTTATCGACGAACAGCGCCGCTGTTACAGCGGCGACGAGGTCACCTAACTTTTGTCTTCATTACAAACACGGTCACGGTCACGAACTTTTATCATGTTTCAAAAGCTGAATTGCAAAATCAGGCCTAACAGTGGCATGCGGAGCGATACGAGGAATATTTTAAAAAAAGAATCGAGAGAAAATATTGCTCCTTTGCTTTAAACAAATGGCGAAGCTCCGTTTCAATGCAATTATTTCATACTCTTCACTGCATTTTCCTATACTTTTTAGCAATTATATCCAGAGCTAGTGCGTATTCATATAAATAGACTAGAAAGTATTTCATACTTTTCACTGCATCTTTTTGGAAGTCGGTTATGTACAGTGCTCGGTCGGTAATGCAGATTGCTCTGTCGGTAATGTTGAGTACTCGGCCG